TATTTTGCCAAAAAAACAATAAAATTTTATAATTTCAAGCTGCGAATAAGTGTAGTTTTCTACACTTATCACCAAGTAATATCAAAAGGCAAGAATTAATCCCAACTATGGATCAGATCCAAGGGCCACAAATGATTCTAAACAAACACACAATCCGGGTCATCCTAATGCTACCAATAAGTAAGTGCCATTTAAGCAACAAATAGGAATGGGTAAAAATCAAATAAAAATGCACCGGCCCATATGTGTTAAGAGAACCACATAGGCCCAATTAAGCCCACAGCATCGGATAAGATAACAAAGTTGACTAATAATGTATACCTGTGTCGCTCTGGCTCGGTACAAATTTTTGCATTTATGCTCGTAATCTTTTTTTTTAATTTTAGTGGAAAGAAAACCTTTTTTTTTTTGTTAGGATTGATTAGGAAAGGAGGCTTTAAGGAAACAAATATTCATGTTTTAATTTTCTTGCTTATTTTGGGGTGTCGCTCGGCAAAAGTTATGCAGATTGTTTGGTTAATTTAATAAGTTTAACTGATCACTCTTTCCTTTTACATGTTATCATTTTCTGCAGAATAATATATTTTGTGAATAAGAAAATATCTGCTAATAAATGTTGGAAGTGAGAGCTTGTAATGAAAGAATATCCAACAAAAGAAATAAAGAAAAAAATTAAGTTACGACTTATGAGCTTGAACTCCGAAAGAGGAGTAACATGGAAAGTTATTGCAATTATTCCTGCCTTGTATTTTTGAGTAACACATCTACGTTCTTCCTATCTCAGGCAGCAGATTCACAGATAGTTTCAGATTATGTTCGCTACTTTCTCGACCAACACACGTAAGCATAAATTTTACATTTTACCAAAAGACAAATTATGAAGAGAAAAAGCCTGTGATGTTTGTTCCCCTGTTAGGGTGGGGGGTCTTGGTTTGAGAAGCCTTGTTTTATATAACAAAGCTTTGTTGGGAAAGTTGCTGTAGCGATTTGGAATGGAGAGAGAGGCTTCTGGAGAGAAATTATTGGGGAGAAATATGG